CTGCAGCCAATGCCAATGATTATAAGTTACGGAGTTCCTATGGTTTAAAACCATGTACCTCCACATTAGAAAAATGAAAAATATCTAAGTAGTGAGCAGAAATAGGAAAATTGCATAATTGGTTATCATGATGCACACTAGAGGGAGCTACATTAGCTCGAGAAAGTTTAAGGAAAGGAAAAATCAAGTTTTGATTTTTGTTTTGGAAGTTTTACGATTTAAAACTTTTTTTTTTAACTGAGCTGAAGTGTTCTTTCTCTGGCTTTTATAACTTTTTTAATTGGCCGCACGAGATCGTTCTAGCAATTTATCGAAATCAAAAAGAGATATGTTTTTATTAAATGTTAAATGCACGTGCTCTTGTATATTTAATTTTACGGCTTAGCAGTTCCGTTTCGATGACATCCAGACTACGGCTTCTATTAGCCTTGCCCTAGCTCACTGGTTCGCTCATAATGGTGTAAAACGACAGTGATTTAAATATAAAAAAAATATGTTACTATTTCTTTACTAATACTAACAACATTTGTAGATGAAATTCAAGCTTTTCAATGCAATTATTTAAACGAAATACAAAAACAAGAGACAAATAACTAAATTATTTTGCGCAATCTATTTTTAAATTTTAAAGTTTATTCGACTATAATTAGGGCCTAGTGGCCCAGAACCCTGGTGTCTAACATCATTATACAGTCAAAAAAAATCGCATCTATTCGGAGAAATTGCACTGCTGACTGCCAGGGAATATGTAGGTAATACAACTGATCAAATTGTAAAAAAATCATGAAGTTATTAGAAATCAGTCGTGACTGCTGTTTGAGTAATACCAGCTACAACTGAACTCTGTTTAAGTTTTTATGTTTTAAAAAAAACTATCGTTTTTGTAAGAATAACTGCTTTTAAATTTTTGTAAATATCTGCAATTAAAGTGTTTTTTTCATATTAAATCCATAGTTATTTTCGAATCTTTTAAAATACTAGCGTCCGTGGAACATGACTATGGACAATTTAAAAAGGGAAAGAACACAATTACGGCGATATTTCACAACTTCTTTGAAAGAAGTGGACACTGTTCTAAAAGATGAAGCAGTAAGTAAGATTGATTTGATATCTGTATTTAATATATTTGATGATAAAGCTGACAGATTATTTCAGTTAGATGAAAATGTTAAAGTAAAATGGCTAGAAATGGAAAATTTTAATGAAGATGAATTTCCTAATGATATGGATTTAACGGAAAGCTATCGAAATCAGTGGGTTGCTATGAAAACGAAAGTTTATTTAATGTTATCAACCACTGAAAGAAAGGGCGATATTTCCAGTGTAGTAAATGAAACTAAGCAAAATTTCCGTCTTCCTAAGTGTTAGAATTGAAACGTTTTGATGGTAATATTAAAAACTGGCTAGGATTCTGGGGACAATTTAAAAAGATTCATGATGATGATAGTATTGATGCAGATGACAAATTTCAGTATCTTTTACAAGCAACTGAAGAAGGTTCATCGGCCAGAGATTTAGTTGCAAGTTTTCCCCCATTCGGAGAAAACTATTATAATGCTATTGAACCGCTGAAATCTCGTTTTGCTAAAAATGAACTATTAATTCAAGTTTATGTTCGTGAACTTTTAAATCTAGTTTTAACGCAAGCGAAAAGTGGCGAAAATTTTACTTTACGCTAAAGTGGTAAATTTTACTACTAAAGTTTACCACTTTAGCGAAAAGTGGAGGATTCTTTATGATAAATTGGAGACTCAGCTGCGAATATTTGAGACTTTAGGGGTAACGTCTGAAAAATATGGAGCTATGTTATATCCTTTAGTAGAATCAGCTCTGCCAGAAGTTCTATCAAGGAGTGGGAACGCATACATAACCGTGTAGAAAATAAAGACAAGATGACATGTTAGGAAATTTATTAGAATTTCTTCGTTTGGAAATCGAAAGTGAAGAGCGGTTACAACTTGCTCGATCAGGGTTTGCGAATGATCAATTTGAGAAATTTTAAACGAAAGAAAAAATTCCCACTTCAGCTTGTATTGTATCGAATGAAAAGCAAAGAGCTGAGAAAAATGGCAAACATTGTTTATTTTGTAATAAGTCGTTTCATAATACCTCAGAATGTTTTAAGGCTGCCGAGATGTCATTGGAGGCGAAAAGGGAAACAGTGAAGAAAAGGGGAGCTTCTTTCGTCTGTTCGAAACCAGCACACAATTCTAAGATCTGCAAAGCTTATTTAAAGTGTATTATGTGCAAGAAAAAACACTATAGCATTATGTGTCCAAATATAAATAAATCAAAACAAGACAAACAATCTGAATCGGATGCATAGGTTCTTTTGCCACCAAAAAATTCTTCAACGTTATTGTTAACTGTATTCGTTAAAATCATCAATGATAACAAGTCGGGAATCGTTCGCGGATGATTTGCTACTGGTGCTCAGAGATCTTTCATACGAAAAGGTATTGCGGAGAAACGGGGATTGAAACCTGTAGATCAAGAAATGATGAGTCATGGACTTTTGGGAGGCAGTGAAACTAAACAAAAGTCCCATAATGTCTATAATATTACATTACAAAGCTTGTGTTCAAATTTCAAGTACACTATTTCAGTTTTGGACGAAAAGAAGATATGTAGTGCAATTCCACGTGCAGAGGATCCTGATATTTATCCAATTTTAAAAAAGAAAAATATACGCTTAAGTGATACAGGAGAATATGTGCCTGAAATAGGTTTATTAATAGGAGCAGATTATCTTGTCGCATTATTGACTGGGAGAATTGAGCCCATTGATAATAATTTGGTAGCTATTAAAACAAAACTTGGACGGATGCTTCAAGGTAAACAAAGAAACTACTCAAAATCTTTGGAGAGTATTGTATATGCTAATAATTTAGATTTGACGGAATTATGGAGCCTAGATGTCATCGGTATAAGATGTCCTGCAGAAGTAAAGTCAAGGCAGGTAACCGATGAAGAAACGGTAGATTTTTTTCCATAAAACTATTAAAAGAAACGAAGACAAAAGATATGAAGTATGTTTGCCATGGAAAAGTGGGCGTAAAGAATTAGAAATGAATAAAAAATTAGCCACTAAACGGTTAATGTCAACTACCAAAAATCTCATACGATTTGGATATTTAAGAGAATACGATGATGTGTTTAATGAGTGGGTTCGAGATGGAATTATTGAAATTGCAGATAAAGACGAGAAAAAGGCACACTATTTACCACATCATCCTGTGATAAAAACTGGTGTAAACACAACAAAAATTCGTCCGGTTTTTGATGCGTCGACGAAAGGTTCCAAAGGAAATTTCTTGAATAATTGTTTAGAAAAAGGGCCCAATTTGTTAGAGTTAGTACCCAAACTGATAATACAGTTTCGGAAAAACGCAATTGGCGTAACATCAGACATCAAAAAAGCATTTTTACAAATCAGTTTGAATCCAGAGGATAGGGAGTATTTTAAATTTCTGTGGTGACAGAATTTATCAAGACGAGAAGAAATAATCACTCTCCGACATTGTAGAGTGGTATTTGGTGCTTCTCATGTCCATTTTTACTAGAAGCAACTATAGCTTGCAATCTAGAGAACGCTCCGGAGGAAAGGAAGCAAACAGCTTGTCGATTCAAAGAATCTTTTTATGTGGACAACTGTATTACAGAAGTTTTTAATATGGCTTTAAGAAGATTCTTTGCTCGAACAGGTAAAGTAAATATAGTCTACACTGACAATGGTACAAACTGCATTGGTTCAAGCAATGCTCTAAGAAATTTAGATTGGGAGAAGATCATGTCGTTTTCCACTATCAAGAAAATCAAATGAAATTTTAACCCTCCAACAGCCGCCTGGTGGGGAGGATGTTCGGAGCGCATGGTTAGAATGTTGAAAGAGAGAGAGAAAGAAGAATTTTGGGCAGGAAAAGTCTTGACTATGAACAGTTGGAAACTATTCTATGTGACTGCGAAGCTACAATAAACTCTAGGCCACTTACATATATTGAAGACAATTCTGAAGGTCTGAAGCCATTAACTCCCGCTTGTTTCTTGCAAAGTATTCCTAGCAGTGAAACAACTGATTTAGACGAAATCGATAGCAAAAGCCTAAATATAAGATGGCGTTTTGTGCAAAATTTAAAATAGGATTTAAGAATGAGATTTCGGAATGAGTATTTAGCAATGTTGATTCATAAAGGTAAGAGCCGGGAAGAATCTTTAAGAGTTGGAGAGATCGTTCTTTTAGAAACTGATGGCAAGTATCAACTAGCCTTTAGGGATCGTCATTGAAGTCTTTTCTGGAGCAGATGGGCACTCAAGAGTTGCCAGAGTGAGAACAGCTGATGGAGAGAAGTTGAGATCATTCCAAAGACTTTATTCGTTAGAAATCAACAGTTCGGAAAAGATGCCATTCATTGCCCAAGATGCTCGAAGGAAAGGAAGTGCCTCTACGAATATGCCTCTACGCCCTGCAGCTAATGACTCAGATTCCAGTGAAGATGATGATTCATCACCCAAAGTCCCAGATTTTTGTTACTAGAGCTGGTTGATGTGTCCCAATAGACACGATTTATAATTTTTGTTGCTATTTATAGATATCCTACAAATTGCAAGGTGGTGAGGTTGTTTGAGTAATACCTGCTACAACTCAACTCTGTTTAAGTTTTTATGTTTTAAGAAAAAAGCTCATCGTTTTTTGTAAGAATAACTGCTTCTAATTTTTGTAAATATCTCAATTAAAGTGTTTTTTCATATTAAACCATAGTTATTTTCGAATCCTTTAAAAACTGCCGCATATTATAATAAAATTTCTAATTTCCGCTTCATTTTTAACTTTCGAAAAAAATATTAAAGAATTGGATTTCCGGTAAAGTTACCATGGCAACGCAGGCGCTTGAAAAACATTATAGACTCAAGAGGTTAGAATAGGCTATCAAGGAGGCTATTTTAAACGATGCTTCTTCTAACCTCCTTGATAGAACTCTGTAAATCGTTAAAAAAAACTGTTATGTAATGATTTGAAGTCACAAACTTAATGCTGTGTTTCTTTGCTTAAAAGTAATCTCAGCCTGATTGCAAATATGATGGATTTAGCTTCATCAAGTGTTGGTGGTCATATAGTAATGGCATCTTCAAATGATTCTAGATTTCCGCCAAGGAATATTTTGGATGGGTATGTGCTGTTACGCTTTGGAAGTTAAGCTGCTATCAGCAGAAATGTCAATAACATACTTAAATAGCATCAAAATATTTAACTATGGATTTTATTATTATTTCAAAAAGTCTAAAATTCTTAATCTGAATTGCAACAATAATAAATGTTAACATTTGATTACGGAATATAATTATAAACACTGCTGTTATTATGATCATGAACAGTATTACTATTATGATTAATACTGATTGAAAACATTATTTATATCTGTAAAAATTAAAAGTGTGCATTGCAGTTAGTATTTTACATTATCAATCTATTCTAAATTTATTTTAGATCTAAAAAGTTTTTTTTTTTTTTTTTTTTTTTTTCAGTATTGTATTGGTCATTTATTTTTGTGAAATAATTTAATACCATGATCATACATATTTGCACATATGATATTAAAAATGGAAAAGTTTAACTAATTTTGAGAGTATTTCTGTGGAGTCAGTAAGGAAGATGTTGAGCCATGGCATGAGAATTAGCAAATTTGGCTGCCAAACCTTTCAGGGAAAAAGTGCAGAATCACCCACTGCTTGGCACGCTTTTAAGAATTGCACAAACTCTGTATCCATGTACACATCGATCTATTCTCTCTGGACAGAAATGGGCACACCTAGTGTATTATTTTATTTTATATATATATATTTATCTGAGCAATGTATTATTTTAAGAGAAATATGCTTAATTAAGATAAAATAACATGCTGAACAAGTATTAATTTAGAATTCAAACAACAAAAATAAAAGAAATGTCATTTTTTACATTTTGGCAGCTGAGGATGATGGTTCGGTAAAACCATCGAATCCTGTGAAAATTTGCAGATGTAACGCTGATTCTTGTTGTCTGAATTAAAGGAATATGCTTATTTAACGAAGACACTATTTACTTTAAGCAGTGTGGCAAAATTTCAATATATTGTAAAATATGTTTCAGTTTCAGTAAGTTATGTTGTTATGTAGTTTCAGAAACTGCATAATACCACCAGCAGTATATCATTAATCAACTGTTTGGTTTAGGCTGGTCCTCTAACATTTTTGGATAACACTTCCCAGTACATTCTTTTTCTCCTGCATAAAATATGAAAGGTAACATCATTTTACCTGTTTTGAGAACACTGTATTCAAGTGTTATTGGATTTTCATGAGCATTAGATGATCTTGACTTGTGTTGACTACATACAAAGAATGACTAGCTAATTTTTCACCCATTCCCATTAGCTGTATTAAGTATGGTAATGGTAAGGTAAAAAGAAATTTTAATTTTACTGTTAATTATTACAAATAATATTCCTTTAACTTTTTATGCCATATTTTATTATGGGTTCATTAAAATGTTTTTGTGGTGCATAAAACATTTCAAAAGCCGCCCGATCGGGGCAGTGGTTAGTGACACTGACTGCCATACCGAAGGGCCTGGGTTTGAATCATGGGTGTTTATAAATGTATATCTGTGCAGTACTGAGGCACTCTAAATATGCAGCGAACTGAAACCATCTTGCGAGGTTTATGGTAGGGCAAATGGGGTGGGAGCTCCTTGGACCCATCTCCCTGGGATGTTGTCTTTCAAAACGGGGCAGAACTAAGCATAGTAGTACTTTCACCTGTATGGTGTCCAAAGCTATTGCTAACGACAGGTAGAATCTTGCCGCCCTTCCACAATGAATTTCATGGGCTTGCTTCAATATCAGACAAGGGAGATTATTTGCAACAACAATACTTCAAAATAAAGTGTATTGACACAGTAGTTTGATATTAAAATAGTGGTTTCCCATTTCTGCCAAAATAAAATAAAAAATAATTTGGTTAAGCTTTGGATTATGGTAACTTGGCGATTTTTTGGCAAAAATTTGGCGACCAACCCTGCTACAGCAACCTGCTAGTTTTTGTTTGGACACCATTTTGTTTTCACGAAGTAAAGGCATGTTTTTTTTTTTTTTTTTTTTCTTTTACTCAACATTTTTTTCCAGCAATCTGCTTGCCGAATTACGCTTATGCTAGAACTTTTATGGAACAAAAGTGCTTAATCATGACGAAGATTAGGTGCGAAATTGGGAGAAAGTGCAGAATCGCAAACTGCTTGCCGTGTTTTTAAGAATTGCACATACACGGTAACCATGTACATGTCAACCTATTTTCACTTTAAAAAAATCCCAGAATTTCACAAAAATGGCATTGCGCACACTCTTGAGCTAGCTAGGACTTTAGCAGCGTACACTATCCATGTACACTGCTAAAGTCCTAGCTAGTAACCTTTATTGCATTACCCAAATGTCGCCAAACTACCTGTTACCATATTCCAAATATTAGCGAATAATTTTTCTGCAGTCAAAAATGCCCTCTCAAAGATAAGGAAACAAAATACTCTATTCAACCAAGACTTTATAGCTTTTTTCATATTAATGTTTAAAAATGATTTATTCATCACATTTATATTATTTGTAACAGAAATTTTATTTTAACATTTTGTATAATGTAAATTAACAGTATATTGTCTGACTTTTAGCTGCATTTTATGTTCCCAAAAGACATTGTTTAGAGGTAGTCAGTTAAAAGTGCTCTAAATTTTTATTCAACATCTGTTCATTTTTTGAATTGCTTCAGCAGGGCATCTGGATGCATCTTTGAAGAGAAATACAGAGACTGGGTTTAACTTTCAGTTACAAAGATAATAAAGAAATACGAGGCTATATTTATTTATGTTTTGTTGTAGCATGTGTAACATCTGAAAATCCTGATAAAGCATGAATAAATATCATACAAAATTTCTGCTCAAAATGTGCTTTGAGGAATTTAATAATCCTGTAATATATCAGTGGCTAGATAATGATGTAACAAGACATACATACAAATGCATTTAAAACAAAAGGCTCTAGAAGTCTGGCCTAGTAACTTAAATTAAGATATTAAAAAAATACCTCCAAACATCTTGGAATTTGAATTACACTTAAAGAAATATATATAGTACTATGATATATTGAGGAATAAACTGGAATTAAATTATTCCTTTTAAAAAATGTTATACATAAAGCCTTATAAATAACAGTAAAAAACTTTGTTGAAGGATATATAATCATCCATAAATGTTTATGAAAGTTGTGTTATATGCTGCATTCATTGAAATGGAAATATTTTGTATTTGAATTTATATATATAAGATTCAAAATCTAAAACTGCATTCTGTGCAAGAATTAATTTTGCAAATCATTTCTTTCTCTGAGCAGTTTTATTTGCTTTACCAAGATATGCTTCATTTTAAATTTCTTGTTATTACTTTTAGTGTGTGATTATAAAATTAAACTAGATGTAAGTAATTATGGATCTTATGTAAATATAACTGCTTTTTTATTTAAAAATATTTTTATTGTAAAATAATGGTGCTTCCCTGTTAAAGCAGTTACTGCATAAACCTTTGATGAATGAATTTGGTTGGCCTATTTTTGACAACTAAAGGGCAGTAGCCACTTTGACAATGAAAGTAATGAACAATTAGAATACTATAACACAGGAGCTTTCAATCACGATATTTTTGGAAAACCTACTAGCTGCAAAATTCAGCTATCTTTAATTTATGAAATTTATTACCACTAAACCCTACCTACAGGCTTCCACTCTAGTCTTAGCAACAAAAGAAGTGTTTAATGTACTATGGTGCTTTTTACCAGTATGTATTCCAAACATAGCTGCATAAAAATTGTCAGGAAAAATTGTCAGTGCTAGACTTTTTGTTGCCTAGTGGAGACTTTGCGACTCCAAAATTCTGCCTTAAATTCTATATTTTTTGCAGCAGTAGGGCCCTTGAGTAATTCATCTCATTAATGATCTCATTAATCATTCAACATATATCTAATTTTTAGCTAATAATAGCAACTAATAGCAAATTTTCTTCTCTTAACTTAATTGCGTAATACCAATATAGAATTAAATGAATTTTCATTCATTATGCTTTACACTGCTGCTTAAGTACACTGCTAGCCATTAAATTGCAAGACCAAGTAGGAATGATTTGATGAACGTCAGAATCACATGAAAGGAAGAGGACGTTGGGATATGAAAACGATTAGTATTTCAGAGCATTTAGATGACACAGGAGGGAGAGGCGACATCTGAAGCACTGCATAAAAGGAAAGTTGTGAAGTGGATTTTTCATTTGGAAAGCACTTTGTAAGGTTAGGGTTTGTTCAGAATATTGAGTTATGCCTCTAATGAAAAGAAGACATGCTTGCCAGCAAGTGTCGGAAATTGGTAGAGGCAGGATCATTGCCTAATTGAGAGTCTGGATTATCGTTCCTTGATATCACTCATTGCACTGGCTGACATCCAACCACTGTTATGTGAATATGCAATCAATGAGTTGCTGAGGGTCATTCTGAATGGCATGCAGGATCACAGTGCTCTCCCATGACAAACACCTGACAGGACAGACATATTGTGAGGTTAGCCCTGTAAAACTGTACAACCATATAACAGACCATTAGTTTGGAAATTGACATGTTTGCAGCACACTCGGTATTTGCTCATGCTGTGTGTTGATATTTGCAGCACCCCGGACTATCAGCACGGGGACCATTACTTCAGCTTCCTTTGACAATGCAGGATAGAAAGAGATGTCGACTTTGGTGCCCCAAATGACAAAGCTGGATACAGGAGTGGTACAACATTGTCTTTTCAGATGAGTACCGCACATTGCCTGCTTGCATTTGATATCAGCATAGGAGACCTGCACCTCGTGTGATGGTTTGGGCAACCATTGGATACACGACACGCGCATCTCTGTTTCTCTGCAAAACATCTGGTTTAACTTGATGGTAATTTGAACGCAGATTTGTTCATTTCTGACATCTTACATCCAGTCACCGTGTCCTATCTTCGAAGCCCGCCAAATGCCATCTTCCAACAAAATAATGCAAGACCACATGTTGCATGTCGTGTTCTGACCTTCTTCGATACACAAGGTATTTGACTGCTGCCCTGGCCTGCACAGTCTCCAGATCTGTCACCTAATGAAAACATCTGGTTATAGGCTGCTGAAAGACTAGCTCCCACCCCTCTGAAGGTAATACAGTTGAAGAAGTGTGGCATAGACTTGAAGAGCCATGGAATGAGTTGCTTGTTTCTATCATCCAAGCCCAGTTCGACTCCATGCCTAACCAGGTAAGGGCCATTTTAGCTGCCAGGGGTGGCAACTGTTTCTACTAATTTTGCATCCCTGTAAACCCCCATACTGCTGACAAATTTAATCATTTTATCTTCATGCGATACTGTTCATGTACAATGTATATCTTTTTTGTATTTGCTTTCCTTCATGGTGTTGCAATTTTAATGGCTCTAGCAGTGTATATTGACAGTAATAATGCTAAACAAATTGCTTTATATTATGAAAGTGGTCCCCGCTTGAAAAATGTTGCATTAATAAAATATTGTCTTGTACAGTTACCCTGTAAGTTAAAACTTAACCACTTGTGCTAAAAAGACGTGCCACGCACGTCGAGATGCTTTTGTCTCAAACCGCGAGCAACGTGTACACCATGTCAATAGGCATTTATCACAAAAATTACACCACGTCAATAGGCATTTATCACTAAAATGAAAATAATGTAGTGCACACGTCGCCTAACAACAAGATTGCTTATTTCTCGAGTTACAGCTCTGGATTGCACTCGCAGACGCAGAGCGGCGTAAATGAGACACTTTACCGCTTGTTATATTGTAGCGCATGGCTCCGCAACTGTGAAGTTTAGTCGTAGCACCAGTGGTTAACTGTATTTTACTTATGAATTTAGGATACAATTTATACAGTACAAAGTCCGTATTCCGGACTCGTTGGGACTTCGGCGATTCTGGATTAGGGTTTTTTCCGGATTATAGATCATCAATTTAAGTCTGGTAAGATGGCATGCAGAAATTATACAGTTAAAAATATGAAATCATAATTTATGAAATAAAGAACAATTATGATCTAAAGGGTATCAAAATTTAAAAAAAAAAAAAAAGCTTAATATTTATTTCCTTACTTTATTAAACATTTCTTTCAATGTAAGTTGTTTAAGATGCTTCCACAAAAAATTCAAAAAGTTCCTTTTTCTTGTGTCATATCTAGTAAACTTTCCAATGCCATACTTCTCGCATAGTTTTGAGATGGATAGGCCTTTATCAATTTTTTGCAGCAATTGCACTTTTTGTTTAATGGACATCGAAACATGCTTTCGCTTTGTAGATCCTTTTTGGCAGCTCCAGAATTGAAAACTCTTTTTGACATAATAGAAAGTTCAAGCGTAATTTTTATAAAATTGTTCTAACAGTCTGCAAAAAATAAATAAGCCGGATCCAGTTAGAAGATTAAGGAACAGCGCAATCTGCAACATTAACTGAAATGCCTTAGATAATTTTAGCCTAGCTTATACCGTCCGTTATACATTAAACGTGCATGCGCATAAAGTTTGTAGCTTTGAGATCTGGATTATAGATCATTCCGGATTATGGACATCTGGATTACAGACTTTGTACTGTATTAAATAAATTTGTGAAATGATGTTAGAGCACTAGTAATACAGCAAAATGAAATTATAATTTTTTTTTTGGTTGATTATTTCTCTTTCTTGCATATTTCTGCCCATAGTATTTTTAATATATGAATTAGAAACATTTGATTTACTTACATGATTCCCCTAAATTGAGAAACTGACTCCTTTGCAAAGGGATATGCCAAAACATAACCTTTCACAATGATGCATCTGTTTAAAAAATGCTGAATTTAAGTCAGTACCTTACTTAAATCAGATAGGCTTAATTATAGTACATGCATCTTTTTTGGGTACTTTTATAGATATAATGAGCTTTAAATTATATTTTATAATTAATTTTAAAAAATTGATGAAATAAAATCATTTCACCTTAATGCAATAGGCTATTTCTTATTTTCTTTCTTTACTGATTGTGATTAGGGCCAGCTCCAAGTATAGGCTGCTGGTTTTCGATGATACCATTGAAATGTTGGCACAAGTTTTCTTTTTATTATTTAAGTTTATGTCTAAATAAAGGTGCATTTTGCTTTGAATATATTAATATGTTCAATTTATTCAGGTTGACAACTTGCTTAGGATGTCAAAAATACTGAAGAACTTGATTACAATAAACCAAAATAATATTTCATGTTGTGCATCATAAGTGGTACATGTAATCTATTTCATAATTTGTAATGCTGAATTTATAACATTTCTTACAAGTTTTCTTCATATGTCTAAATAAAGGTACATTTCACTTTGAGTATATTAATATGTTTAATTATACAGGGTGACAACTGGACTGATTGGCCTAGGATGTAACAAATGCTGGAGCAGAGCTTGATTACAATAAACCAAAATAATATTACATGCTGTGCTTCACAAGTGGAATATGTGATACATTTAATAATTTGTAATTCTGAATTCCATTCAGAGAAACACAATTTAATAACATTATTTGAGTGTCTTTTGTGGTAACTATATAATGTGAAATCAAAAAAATACTACTCAGCATTGAAACAAACTGACATCTTTGAAATATAGTCATAGTAGTTATTAATCTGCCTATATGTGCTTTTCTTAATCTGTTAATTTCTTCCTTTAACCTTTCTTTTGAGAAGTATATGTGATTTTTCTCTTTTAATTTTGCAAGCAATAATTTATATAAAAAAGAAGAGGAATGTATGAGTGAGTACTGTGCATTATAATGTCAAACTTGTCACAACCCATCGGGGAAAAGTCAGTATGGATTTGTATAGTGCATTTTACATTACAATATTTTACTAACATAGTTACAGCATAACTATCAATTTTTAATACAGCTTTAAACACCATATATCAAAATAATATTTTATAGTGTGCATCTCAAATGGGATTCAGTCTTTCCAGTAATTTGTAATTCATTTTATAAAATTTTTATGTTCATTTTCTTTTGCTTTCAAAAGAGTTTTAAATGTTAATATTTGTCTAAAATAGTTACAATATTTGATGCAAAAATATTTTTATAATATATATGTTTTCATTTCGCAATATTTCTCTATTTTTTTTTTTAGGAAACTTGATACTTTTTGGGTCACAACAGGTCTTTATCCTCAGTGTTTTGTTCTCTCTTTATCAGAAGCAGCAGATGTAAAAGCAATAACTATGCATTCTTATAATAGTAAGAAAATTATCATGCTTATAACCTGAAGTATTTGCAGCATTTCAGCGTTGTAGATAAATCAGTATGAATTATAATAGTTACACATCTGATTCATTGATCATAATTCAAAATAAATGTTTTTAGTACTTATGCATTTTATTTCATCCAGATGAGCTTTCACTTACTAACAGAATTAAGTTTACTAATATGAGTAGCACTAATCATAAGAAATCTTTATTTAGAGTCTATAAGAAAATTAATTTTGAGAAAAGTCACAGCTTAATGAAATTATTTGCATGCTGTTCTAGTCACTATCATTATCAGCATGAAGTAAATGCTGTTAATGATAGTGGCTAGAATTTCTGATATTATTTTAGTGCTTGCCATACTATAATCACCTCATTTTCCCTTTCTGACACATTATCTCATGTTTCCTTACAATTTCCCACTATAAGAGGAAAATATTGGTACCTGCTACTCACAAAATTATTTTGCTATGCTTAGATGAAAAGAAAGAGGTTACCAAATATTATATATAGTTATTTGTGCAATATACACCAATATGAATTTTGTTCATTATTTCGGTAGTAATTATACAGTTACAGGAGGTTAAATATTTTTAATAGCTCTAAAAATGTCTTTTCAAAACATCTTTTATCATCTGTAAAGAAATTCTGTAAGGTACAGGTAAAAATGATTCTTTTAGTCCATGGTGTATTTTATTTTGCCGTTTTGTACTTCACAGACATTTTTGAATACGTATGGTAGTTTCTGTTTATGATTTACTTTTAAAATAAAATGCACCATTCTAGCATATCTTTCTCTGTTGTGCATTATAGTTTCTTTGTAGATTTTTTATTTATAATATTTCTATTCTTTCGGTGAGTACAGGCATTACATAGTTACATATTTGAAAAAGAAAGAACTTATTGATCTTTTCACGTATACTACCAAATATTAATTCAGTGATTCTCCACCGTTTTACCACATTGCACTCCTTTCACCGCTGGTAGAAAATCATTTTCCCCCTTTTCAAAACTCTAAAAATGTATAAATATATACATTTATTTAGATTCAGATTATTTTTAACGTGTTTATTAATTAAATAACAAAAGGCATAGAAAATATTTATAAATACCAAAACTTGAATACAGTAGTTTTTTATATTCATATAGTACTAAAACTGAATACTTAAGAAGTAAATAAAAGGCTGGGAATTTCCCCTTCCCAGTGGTGGAGAACTCCCATATTAGTTGTTTAGGCAAAACGTGTCCATCTTGGTTTTTCAAATATATTAGCTTTCATCCATTTTAACAATAAAAAATTTGGACCTCTGAATTTTTTTGTGGGGGAGGGCAGGGGAAGCCACAGATTTTACCTAACATTGCAGCAGATATGTCACATATATAACTACTCTTGGCTATTATGTTGCCATTTAATATTTCAAGTTCTTATTCTGAATCAGTTCATCACTCCAAGAATGTATTTTAATTCAGAAATGGGTGAAAGAATAATCAAGATGATTCAAATCATGTATTTGTGGGTATGCTTTTTTTCTTTTATTGCGACATGATAATAAACTGCATTATCACCAGATTTCACCAGTAAATAAATTTTAAAAAATTTTTAATCCTTTTCCCATTTCATAAATGGCTCGATTTCTTTTCTTGAAAACAGTTTGTAGCTTCATCTTCGTAAAGAAAATCCTAAATTTTCATGGTTAAAAGATTACACTAATATTATAAAATTTATAATAAACTCATTATTTGTATTTTGATTAGAGCACTAAATTGCCCACTTGGAATGCTTTGCCAATATGACAGTATTTATAAACAAATGATTAAGTATTTATACAAGTATTTATACTTAATCATTTGATGACAGTATTTATAAATAAATGATTTATACAAATAATTAAGAAGTGTATAAATCACTAATTAAACATTTGTGCTCAGCTAATAGAGAAGCTCAAACAGCTCAATTTTTTTCACAGCAGCATGTTTTACTCTTACAGTTTCTTTAATGTTTACAGCTATAAAATTGAAATAAATTTATTAATTAAATATTTTTGCTGTCAACTAAACTTCATGTATAACAGTTTAATTTTATTACTTTAGTTAAAGATCTCAGAATAGAAAAGTCTATAAAAGAAGATCCCGTGGAATTTGAAGAAATTTTAGAAACAGGTAAATTTTGATATTTTAACACTAGAATGATTGATTTATACATATTTATATCAATTGGAAAACTCTGTCATTATAACAGTTCCTGTATCACCTTCTTAAAATTTTTCTATCATAAAAAATCTGAATTTTTTAATACTTCTTGATATTTGCATTCCCACCAAAAATTTATGCATTCATTGGTGACTTTGAAGAGGATTCACAAACTCATTGGCGACTAATTTTTCACCAAGCTAATACACAGAAGATAACAGCAGTTTTCAATATGACAGTGCACTAAGAATTCCATACAAGAGAAATCAATCAGTACAATTAAAAAAGCAAGAAATACCAGTTATAAAACACTTTTCCAAAAAAACCTCTGAGTGTATACAGCAATCTGGTTTTGCTTCATAAACATCAGAGAATTTCACACAGACTGAAACAGATATATGTTATGCACATACCTGGGTTTCTTTTCTGAATCGTTCCTATTCTTCTGTACACAGTTATCTGTTTTTGCTTTAAAATTATCAGAGAATTGCACAAACTCAGCATCATACAACTTAGTGGGATTTCTGGACATGGCAATTACAAGACTTGAACAATGGAACTTTTTAACTGAACTAGAAATAAGTCTATCTATATAGAATTAAAGTATTAGAAAAACTTACATTACAAACTTAAATAACTAACATTGAAAGAAATGTTTAAAAAAGCAAACAAACAAATATTAAGTCTTTTTTTCTTTAGTAAATTTTTATTTCCCTTAAGGTCATAACTGCTCCATTATTTCATAAATCTATATTTTTAATTTTATAATGTCTACATGTCATCCTACTAGATTTAAACTGATGATGTAATATCCGGAATCGCTGACTCGACAAGTAGGGATCTCGGATTTTGTACTGTATATATCAATTCTTATTAAAATACTTGAAAGGCTAATTTATTAACAATTGAAGTTCAGTTTCAAGTTAGAATAAAATAACACTAACTTTTAACAGTTCTTTACACAAACAATATTTACTTTTAATATATTACATGTCATAAAATACATTCTTGTAAATTCAGGAACTATTTGTCTAATATCCAGTTTTTAATTATTTAAATATTAGTAAAATATCCTCTCTATTTGGCCAAACATTTTCTGAATACCTCTGTCGGTGAAAGGATACTTTATTTAAATTTCCATCTCATATATAATTTGTTTTAATAGTTTAATCCTGCAATGATCTGTAGAGTTTCTATTGTGGAAGCTAAAATCCTGCAGACCTGCTAGACTGATAATGAGTTATCGCTTTGTCTTGAACAACTCACAAATGCTGAAGAAGATTATAAACTAATCTTTTTATTTGGTCTTACGGATGAAATTTCTTCCTTGCGGATATTCAAAGTAACATAACAAAAGTTAAATTCTAACATAGAACTTCACATAAAATAGATTATGAGCTGGCTCAGATAATTTACTGGTGCACATTTTAAAGCATCAGTTAGCAAGATGCTAAAGATGGCAAAAGAAGGTAACAGCTAGATGCAGCTGCCACAAGCTCTAGTCTAAATATTCAGACCCCGAGCTTAAATACACAAAAACCTGATTTGCATTCTGGTGAGGAATACAGAAAGAAGACTTTTTATAGTTAGGAATCAAATATAGGCTCAAATTATCATAATTGTTTGATTAAAATAAACTGTCTTACAGATTTCTTAAAATTATTTTTTCAAGAAAATAAAAATTACATTTTTTCCCTTTACATTTTGTAAACTTCCATTAATATTAAATTATTTGTGTAAAAACCCTTCCCAAAAGTATGTGCTTTATGTGAAGGGAGATATTTAAAAATTACAATTACTTCAGGATATGAGTGATTTTGCACAGTTTCCAAAATGACACCAATGTTACTGGAAACATCTTAAAAGCTGCTTCTTCATATGTGATACTTCAGATTTTCACATTATAGACTGAGTGATGCGATTAAGCATGATAGCTACTTTAGTAAGGAAGTAGCAAAATAGATTATAAGCACTTTTCATATTACAGTTACTTTATAACTTAATGTAATTAATGAAGTTCTATAAAATTATATTTTTCAATTATTCATCACTTTTTTATTATAATGCATAGTATATGGTAATTTTAGAATTACAATGAATAATTTGAATTAGGTGACATAAAAAAATTCTGCATTTAAATTTTTATGATCAGCAATAACAGAGTTAAGTCCAGGTATAGCAAACCGAGTTTATAACTAATTCTCGGATATAAAGAGCAAACTTTTTAGTTTCATCCAGTTCCCTACCTTATCTATTGTGACCATATATTTTCTAAATGCCTCCCTCAATAAAAATGTATTTTATATCTGTGTTACATTAAGTTTCCATCTGATGTATAATCTCCCAATCAATGTTTTTTGTTTTTTTTTTTTTTTTCCTACAAAACAGAAATTACATTTTTATTTCTAACATTCCATAAACTTCTGTTAATATTCTTTGCAGGTCTTGAATCAAGTGAAGGAACACCCCAACAGAAAACATTTTCACCTGCTTTGTGTGAAGCAAGATATTTGAAATTCATAATTAATTCAGGATATGATCACTTTTGTACAGTTTTTAAAATTACAGTTAGTGGAACTGTTCTTTGAAGTGCAAGAAAAAAATATAAATATTAAAAACTTCTTAATGATTTTTTGCAACTTTTTTCTTTATGTGTTTTTGGGGGGAACAAATCCTTTAATATAAATTAAATTCAAAAATTTTTCACATATATTTTAGTAATTTTTATGAGGATTTGTGTTAGAAATAGATCATAGGTATTTTTCATATTGTAGTTACTTTTGCATTAATATAATTTCAATATTACAATATATAATTTGAATTAGCGCAAAAGAAATTCTAAATCCTGTAGTTTTCTATGAAATAGCAATTGTTAATATCAAGCTGAAATATAAAAAATTATACTGTTATGGTTTCTAAACTTTAAATTAGACCAGGGATGTGAAAGACATGGCCCTTAATTCACCTCAAGAAAACAATGAAAAATATATAATTAATAGTATATTAATGATGACTGAAGTGCATTGAATATCGAGGAAATCCTGAAAATTTAAAAGCTTCAAGCTTTATCTGCATATTCTAGTGTATATGATGAGAATACAAATTTTGGGGGCTTAACTCTTAACCATATTTCTTCAAGCTTATAATGTGGAATTCGGTGTTTCTGAAGAACTACTGGTGAACTTTTAAAAACAGTTTGGTTTTCTATTGAAGCTGTCCTGTTTAGCTATGAGAAGAACATAAAAGACTAAAAAAAAAAAATAATGGTTTTATAGCTCTTCTGCACAAAGAGTGCAGAAGAGCTAGTTGTAGTGTAGAAAACGGAACCCCTTGGATGGACGCCAAATATCGGCACTGGTAGTTTGGTAACTATAAATGAGTTCTGTTTCCCCTATGTTATAGCAACCGTTATTTTGTTATGCAACCAATATAAAGTTTAATCTGATTGGATCTTCATAGTTTAGTGACTGAAGCATACATGCACTGCACATCATGTATTATTTCAATTGGTTTTTGTTATGTAGCTGTGGCATGTTCTGGATTGTTGTTATGTAACTTCTACAAGTATATCTTATAAGATAAATATTCATTTTTTTTTTTTTTTTTTTTCATGATGTAGTGCAAAAGGATTAGAAAGCTATTATTGATTACTGTGTGAATGAATGTTTAAACTTTTGGCATTGTTATCCATTTATAAGAAAGATGTGCATCTGATTGAGCACAAGGATCAATCGATAAGTGGATTTTTCATAAGAAAGGTGTAAGAAGTCTGTAAAGAAGAGTACATGGCTCAAAGAAAACATGATGCAAATAATTCATTATTTAATTTTTTCTAATTTATAGGTTATGAAGCTGGAACGAATCTGGCTACTTATGTATTATCCCGTCGACTGGTCATGTTGCATGATTTATCACCAATTATGGGTGATCACTTACTTCAGAATTCCGTAGTAATAACTGGCAAGTGTTGCCAAAAGTTTCGCCAACAGCCGATGGGATAATACGTAAGTATCCGAATCTGCTTATGAATGAGGTGAAAGTCTATTTGAATATACGTACCTGTAGTTGACTCTAGAAATTTTTGCAGAGAAATGTGTATTGTTGCATGAGTGGAAAAGAGTGAAACGATTGAGTCCTGATATGGTTAAGGAAACAGATGGGAGCAAGTTTGGCAAGAGGAAGCATAATAGGCATAAAAGGGTGAATGGAAATTAGATGTTTGGCATCGAAAGAGTCATATAGTATTAATAAATATCTATTATGTATCATTGAGGGAAAAAATTTCATATAATTAATTCTCTGTAAAATTTTATTTCAAATTTAAGGTTAAAAATAGCTGTGGCAATTCACTGTAACAAAAATCCATAAACCACAATTCGCGTTATTATCGCTCACAAAAAAGATGCCAAATTTCAAAACGCGAAAATATGTAAATTCGTGTATATCTTAGAAAATTTTGAATAAAAAAGTGTAATTTTTTGCAGGTATGCTTAGAAATACACCTACTTTAAGATGATGGTAAAAATTTTATAGGTTAGATTTCAAAATTTTTTTCGAAAAATTTTTTTTAATTATTTAAAAATAGAAAGTTAAAAAATAAAACGCAAAAAACGGGTAAATTTTACTTGGAATGAACCTAAATTTCGAAATGTGAAAGGAAAAATAAAAAAAGAGATATTAATAAATATTTGCAAAATTCAATTAACATTGAGGAGCTAATATTTTAAAAAGAACTCGTACGATTTTTACAAAACTTGGCATTTTGGCATAATTTGAGTTGTAGAATCGAAATATGGAAAAAAATTGGTATATTATTTCAGAAAAAGTCCGATTTTGTGTCAAAATACCTATGTTAGAATATTGTTATATATAAATCTAATATATATCCTAATCAAATATATAGTCGCGCTTTCGAGACATGAAAAATGCAGTTTGAATTTTGTCAATCGGCCCAGTAGAACAGTGGATACTTTTCACCCGAATATTTGCATCTGGAAGCCAACATTTGGAATATGAAATTTGCTTATTATGTATTTCATATTTTGTAAAGCATTTATGAGTTTTCAATTAAAAAACCCAAAGATTTCAAAGCGCATAATGGCAACGCTGTACGGGAAAAAAAAAAAAAAAAAAATTTTATCTCTAGCGCGCAAGACTGTGTATTGGAAATTCTAACGATATACTCATTTTAAAATTATTTTGCAATACTGCTGTTGATTGTTCAACCAAAGTTCAAAATTGCAACAAACAACATTGCTGTATGTTTTCATGGATTTCCCCATGTGGAATATGAATACAAAACTAATCCCTCTAGAAAGTCCGCTCGGCCAGAATTGCTAAATACTGGGAGTTTCAATCCCAGGCAACAAAGTGGCTGCATGATTATTATTATTTATTTATTTATTTATTTTCTTTTCTTTTCTTTTCTGGTGCGTATGTGGTTTTCACTATGTGGTAACATGAATAAGACAGTTTTCCTAAGAAAGACATCTCTGAAAGCACCCACATTATTTGCCAAATTCAAATTACGTAATTTCTAGAAAGTCCTTTATGATGTATTTAACTTTGATGATAATCTAACCTAACCTTGTTTATCGGTATACTGTATACAGACTGAAATCTTAGGCATTCATGACCTTCTTGAATATTTATAGCTATCGTAATATAATCAATTAGACCAATAACAACCAAGTGGTAAAGTAGCTAAATACTGGTTTCAAATCTGGGTGATTGGACTGGCTGCATAAGAGCTCTCGTTGTTTTGTTCATGTGTTTCCTTAAAAACATTCTCCACAAAGGCAGCTCCCCATAATCAGACAATTTTATGTTCTTTGCTGCAATCCAAATTGTCCAACCCAATCAGGCATACAGAAACATAATGAAAAAAAAAAAAATCGGAAAGCGTTCTTTTATATTACACACAAAGGGGCGTTTTTTTCACAGGCTATTCAAAAACAAAATTTGAAAAGTGATACAGACACTCAAAGTCATTCAATGCAAAATACCCATAAGCATTGTAATATCTTTGCGTTGCTATGCTACTAACATAATGCCAGTAAGAAATGTAAAGAAAACTCGTGCATAAAATATCCATACTTGCATGCAATGTTGATGTTAGTGTTAATGGAATGCTTTGAAATCATTGAGTTTGTTAATAAAAAATTTGTTAATGTTTTACAAAATATGAAATAGATAATAAAACAAATTCCAAATTTGGGTTTCCAGATGGCCAGATTCGAGTGGAGGACTACGTTATTCAAAATTTGATGTCTCTAGATACCGTTATTTTTCATAATGCCAAAGAAATACATACATTCATGCAGATTTTTCATTATTTAATTTCTTTAACCCTCCGGGGGTTTCCACCCTGTGGAGGTATTGTTTCCTAAAGCGACAGCAGCTTTGTCAACAAAGCTTTTGAAAATTGTTAGACCTGTCTCACAGAATTCACCAAAAGCGTTAAGCAGTTTTCTCACCCCCCCCCTCACAAGCACACACCTGCAGAGAATGATCAGATAGACAATCAGTCTGTTATGCTGTAAAAAGTATCTTTGCCCTTCAGGAGTTTTCAAGTGTTTGGAAAGCGATCCGACTTGTAGCAGTAATTGTTCGCTTTAGTTATGGACTATGTTCCCAAATGAAAATTCTGTGGAAACCTGAAATCAAGACATTAAATGAAAAGAATTACAACTGTTTAATTTTTTTGTTCTGTTTATAAACCTGTATTTTTACGTATATACACTGGTTATCATAAATTAAGGAAAAATCACAAAAATAGCGATAACTCCCTCAAAAATAAGCCAAACCGTGTAAAATGTTGCCAAGTAAGAGTAGCTGAGTAAAACTCCAATATGCAAATTAGTGGCGCTGCACTCGGAATACGTCATCTGCGAGGAGCATAAAAGTCCATGTTTGAGAGCAAGCCCACATATTTCACTGTGATAGTGACATCAGAAATCTGAGATAGCCAATTCGTAACAATGATCTCCAGGCATCATTTGCCTGCAGAACTACGACAGGAAGACATTGAAAGCCTAGAGGCAGGACAAAGTCAAACAGAAGTGGCCAGATGGCTAAATGTGAGTCCTTCTGTGGTTCATAGACTTGATTCTTCTGTGGTTCATAGATGCAATTTCAAATCACAGATTCGGCACCTAAGAGGTTCAGCCAAGGACGGCCAACTGCTACGACGAGCGCCGATGACCAATATTTGACATTTATGTGCACTCAGGAAGAGAACCGCTACTCCGACTCTTCTTAGATCCTCCCTTGCTGCAGCCACCAGAAGGTTGGTGTCAACATCAACTCTGCGTAGAAGGCTTCACGAAGGTGGTCTGTATGCGAGGCGAACAACCATTTGCGTGCTGCTCAAGTCACGCCATAGGAGGGACCGTTTGCAGTGGGCACGGTAACATGTCCACTGGACGCCTGACCAATGGAGGGCTATTCTCTTTACGGATGAGTCCAGGTTTAGTCTAGAACGCGATAGTAGGCATTATTTGATATGGAGAGAACCTGGAACCTGTTATCATCCGTCAAACATCCGTGAAAAGAGATGCATACGAAAGAGGCAGTGTCTGTGTTTGGGGTAGCATCTTTTTGGGTGGACGCACAGACCTACATGTTTTTC